ACTACCGAAACGGTCACACGCGTCCTTGTCGGATGAGGGATCACAAACACTGTACGCCCATCCTCCATAACAACTTATCAAGGACGGCGATTCAGAAGCGGCTTATTTTTCTCCTTGACTAAAATCATAGTTTGTTTACGCTTTAGAACAACAGCCTACTATTCTCAAGCTAATGGTATAGTTGAACGTCGGCACCGACAGTTGTAGGTTGAATTACCAGCTGCAAACAATTCCCTTTGGACCACCGTTAGTTCCCCTAGGGATACGAAATGACCTGAAAGATGATCTTCGTTGTACCGCTTTCGAGCTAGTATATTGCACAGCATTATGATTACCAGGTGAGTTTGTTTCTCCAACCAGTGGTAGATCACGCCTCATACGTCAACAGACTCACAAACGCAATGCGTCCAGTCAAACCTGCTCCTCTTCAACCACAGTCCATAGACATCTTTGTTCACGAGTTCACACGTTTATTTGTTCATCGTGATTCTTTGCGTCACCCTCTGGAGATACCACACGACAAACCATGTAAAGTCATTGGATGTATGGATGAATTCTCTGTCTTAGACAAAAATGGCCGAGAAGACTCCTAGCATGGATCGTCTAAAACCAGCCCACATGAAAAAAGATCTCACGAGCCTCAAGCTAAGCATTCCCGATATCACACAAGTAACCGATTATCCGTTGGTCCTCAAAGAAATCACTGGCACAGCGAAAGCCAACGAACTTTTCATCGAGCCCTCAAATAAAACGCGTTCTGGACGAAACGTGAGACTCCCGGAACATCCCGACGTTTATATCACGTAACTAAGTGATGCGATTCGCACAGTTTTTATTTGCTTGTGGTATATGTTCTTTCTCTCAGGCATATCAGTTCTTTACACTGCATCCCGCAACACGAGTAAAAAAGAACTTTTACAATCGTACATGTTACATCTACTAAAAAAGTTACATATTTTTTCAATTTTTTATTTTTCGCATTGTTTCTCTGTATGGTAGATGTACATCATTATTTAAACATTATTTTCGGAGCATTTCCCTAAACAAGGTTCTTGGCATTCTTGCCTCCCTTTCCAGGTGCGAAGGGCACTGGAGAAGAAGCAAACGAAGCACGAGGTTCAATGAACAAACATAAACAAAGCGATGAACAAACACCCTGTTAGCATAGGTAGATGTACAGGAGGCAATCCATCAATTCAATCGGAAGTCGTGTCCAGTAGGGTGCAGCAGTTCGGGTGTGACGACAGATACTCGCCGAAGACATTGGTTAGAGGTTGCGCCATATCGTGAATTGGCAGAAGTTAGAATTCATGGGCTGGCCACTGGATCAAGTTCCAGTGGCTTAATGGTCTACGAGCAGGCTAGCCTTGTAACCAGTAGGTCCTGAGTTCGAACCCGCGGATGCGCACTGATGAAGAGTTCCAAACTAGGACGAAACCACTATCCAGCACTCCCAGGCTTTCCAATGATTCTCTAACCAATGTCAACTCATGATGAAATCCTGTAACCAATCAATCGTAAGAGGTTTACCGATGGTAACACCATTAGATTGTTTATTTTCGGCTGGTTTTGTCTCAGAGTCCTCATAATCACACTAGGGGAGGAGTGAGATGTAGCTGTAGGTAATTTCCCAGAATTATTAGCTACAGCACTCATCACTGAACACTGGACGCTGACCTTCACTATTTGCGTCGGGATGTCTATCTGAAGGCTTCCGGTCAAGCATCCACGCCATTTGGCACGCTGTCATCTCACGTTCGTTCATTGGTGCACGATCCCTAGCTAGTTAAGCAATCATCTCGCACTCCAATTTGGTTCGGAAATATATCTCGTAATTTGGACGATCAACTCTGTTATTTCGCTTCGCCTTCGGTCTAGGCGGAACGATTACTATAGAAGTTGTGGGTATTAGATCTTGCGCTGGCATAAACCGCACTATCCATGGACATCGTTATCTTCAGCTTCTAAACAGTCACCAGAACTAAGGAAGGCTTGGCGATCGGTAATAACGTCCTCAGTCCAGATATCTTGTTGATTAGAGAATGTGTATAAATTGGCAATATGGCGAACTGGCCTGAAATACAGTGATTTGTTACCCGTTATTGCATTTCACATCATTTTACAGTTTCCCAGGGCGTTCTAATCTTCCTGAAATAGCTTTTAATCACGTGGTGGCACGGCACTTACTCAAGTATACACTGTACACTGGTTGGCTGTAACTATCGGAAGGGAACGGAATGAAGTTTGGACTGGCGCTCAACCTTGGCGGTGACCTTAGTGAAGGGTTTACAATTTTACACTTATATGGACCTGTTCGGATTGCAGTACAGTAATCCAACAATTTAAACTTTCGAAAAAGTATTAGTTTGCGATATTTCACGATCATAATTTCTAACATATCTGATCGTGGCTGTAAAAATGACTTGCGTTTCTTGTAAACTTACCAGTTTATACGAAATATAAATTATTCTTGTAACCTTATTCTCTTTTTGCGTCAGCAACAGGAGAATTTATGGATGAAAAAGAGGTTGGACCGGGTTTCCATACATCGGGGTTAGAGCACAATGCGGTGCTCCCAGGTGCCATAGGTCGTGCCAGTGATTCAGGACACCTAAACAATTTACTGTGTGCTCCTGGATGTATGGACAGTAGTGATTGGAGATGGGTTATGGATTAAACGGCGTAGCTTTGTAAGGTCTACCCATCTGCTATTCTGTATGCCGGTACGCGTCCTGCTGTTGTTTTAATAACCAGGAGAATATTGTGTGGGAAGGTGCTTCGGTTTCAGAACTCTAGGGGTTTCGGGGCCTAAGTTTCTATAAGGCGGAGTGTGTTGAAAACCACCACCCATATATGTGTTTTGAGGGGGTTTCCTAGTGTCCACTGTGGGTTCGTTGACACGCTTACTCTCGTAAGGCTTATTGAATACCAATATTCCAACCAGGCATCAGACTCAATTTCGCGGAATTTTTCACCGTGGTGAGATTACTACGTTTAGTTGAAAAATTCTTAGGATAGCGCGCAGCACTGTCAGCTATTTTAGTACCTTTCAATGAAGCTTTGTTTACAGGGATACTAATATCCAAATCATTTCCCAGTTCGATTGACAGGTATGACTGTAGTGTAGCTCGCCGAACGCTACTGTCAATACTAGGTGACTGTTGCGGTACACGATCCACTTTCGGTAAATATTAGCCAGAGGAGGTGACCAAATTATTGCTGCCCATTATTCCCGTTTGACACTGTGTTTTGTCTTGGGCTATGGTTACAGACTTATAACCGCTACTTATTCTTAAATTATCTTGAAATTTAGTAAACTTAATAGCATCAGGAGAACTGCCAATTAAGGGACAATTAGACTGGGTCGACATTTTACGAAACCGTTTGCATCCACATGGCAAACTAGCCAAGCTGCAATAATCCAGGATTTTGCTTTCTATAGTCTCTAAGAGCACTGAGTCTGGAATATTGTAAACAGTAGACTGATGAGGAGATGCTATACGCTTCAGCAGTCGATGAGATTTCCTGCTCCAGAAAAATTGTCCAGAAAAATTCCTAATTCATGGCGTATCGGCTGTTTCACTCATAAATTTTCTCAGTAAATTGCAGTAGAATCCCTTAATAGTGGAACTGTCATCTGAGGAGTATATCGCTCTGATCTGTTCGGTAACCACAAGTAGCTAGTATTTATGGCATCTAACTGCGCGAAATTAGTTGTGAAATGGGTTCTCCTTTGATGACAGTGCACTGCTCCTGTATTTTGCATCAAATGACTGTTGTGAATTTCTTTTGTTTTTTCGTGCTTTTGCATTTACGGGCTCTAGTGTGATTAGATTTTATATAAATTTAGGGTGATGTTTCGTTGTATCTAATCCCTTTTACTGGGTGTTTTATTAGACTTCACCCTTTGAGTATCTTAACTGATTCATTTTCAGTCGCATGAATCGAAGGTCCTTCTTAGTTTCAACTACCTGTTTAATCGTTCCTATATTTCCGCAGCAGAGCATCAGTGCCCAATACAGCATCTAATTAATCGATGACACCGATAGGCACGTGCGTACAGTCCTCTAGATGTTCGACCACTGTCATCACTTCTGCCTGTTTTGGCGGAGAATGTTAGACGAGTTCTCTGACATTTTGTAAACAACGCATGCGGTTCTATTTCCAACACATTATAGACGGCGCTATGTTGCTTGGGAATACAGGGTGTGGGACACTTGAAGATTAGTTAGGTGAATTTATATGTTATAACCCCCTTGCAATGATGCAATTCAGAAGATTGTCATATCTAGGGAGCCCTCTGTGTGAATACTTCTGCACCAGTCACCTAAGACTGCCGCTCACCTCTCAACTATGTAAACGTTTGGAAATCCGAATTCTAAAACATCAAAGCGGCGCACAATCGGCCGTAATGATGCAATCAGTCATCATTTCAAAGCTGTGAGAAGTTATGTTCTGTTTCAGATTTCAGATGATGAACTACGGCGATTCAAGAAATAAATTTCTCTTATTGTCGAAAAGCAGTCCCAATCTTCTTATTTCAAACATCTTGACAGCCTCAGACAAGCAGTAGCAGAAAGATTTCCGAGTGTGCGTCAGTGACACAGCCGTTAGGACTCTCGCAGACCATTCACATGGTCTCTGTGCTTAATCAAACCATTTCAGAGCAATTGCAGAATTTGCGCATTATAGAGAGAGTTCAGAACTAGCGAGATTTCATTCAGCAATATATGGAGCTTGGGTGGTGGCTTCAAATACTCTCAGTGAGCCAAACATTTAAGAAGTGTGAAATATATCCGTAAGATGTACTTCTCGCAGCAATTTTAAGAAAACCGCTATTAAAATATAACCTCACTTATCGTCACTAATTAGTTGTAGAATGAATAAATTCACAAAGACAGCACGATTTGTTTTAGTTCATCGAGCTGTAGGTCGTTTTGGCTTAAATCAGCTGTCTTTAACTGTTTCTGTTCCCTTTTATACCCATTCAGTCTACACAAATGGGAAGGATTTTTATAGAGCATATGGGTGGGAATAGGGTAATACACTGTCAATACTGTGAGACGCCACTCACAAATCGAAGCGAAATACTGAGTACTCGTTTTACTGGGGCTACCGGTCGTGCTTTCTTATTCAACCGTGTGGTAAATATAGTTCACAGTGACATACAGGTATGTTCGGCGCATGGAATGAAATTGCTACTTTAGGACCGTGTTATGCTGACTGGTCGTCATCTCGTAAGAGACGTCGTATGCATAAAGTGCAATACTAAATTGGGTTGGATGTATGAACATGCCATGGAGGAAAGCCAGAGGTACAAGGAAGGCAAAGTCATATTGGAAAGAGCGCTAATAATGGAGACGGAAGGTATACCTGATCCGCTTGGAGAGGATCAGTAGTAATTCAAGTAGATGGATATTGTCATACTTCATGTATAGTAAACATTTTGTTTTACATAATATCTCATGACTTGGACTCTTTCTAATCTAGTTTACTGATTGACTTCATTTTATTTATTTATCCATTAAAATTTTTAATATTCTCTTGATTTAACATGTTACAGTAACTGACAGGCTCTTTAGGTTGTCTTAATAGATGCAATGTCTAATAACTATCACTTCACATTTTCTACTAGTGCATATGTTGTGTAATGTTGATTTGTATCCGTCATATAGAGGCGGCAAGACTATGTATGTGTTCCTTGTCTCTGATTGATGTACTAATCTCAGGACACCAAAGTTGTTTGAGCTTTTAAAAACATATTTTCATCTTTTCAGAGTTTATGTTCTAACATTTATCTTTGAGTGGATAGGTAAGGGTCATCAAGTGGGCACCAAATACTGATGGAGTATTTCATTGTGACACTGTTTTGCTATTCTGCAATTGTTAGGCAATTCTTACCATCCTAGGTTGTCTTACATCTTAGTACATCCACAGATAAGTTTCCCAACTAGTCAAGTGAATAGATGACATAATTCTTGTTATTTGTGGAAGGGGAAAATGCTTTATTACTTTTGTAATCGTTACACCAGCGATACAACTTCATACACACTGCAGGGGAAGTAGTTTATAATGAGGCGATTACTGTTGAATTCTTGGGTATCTAACAGATCTTTCTGAAGTTGTAATGTAAAAACTGAGCTATAGCACTACATGCATTAACACACAACCACACGATAGAGTGGGACAGAATCGAAATTTTAAGAAGTAATATAGGTAGGTTGAGAGAAAAGTTGATTTTTGAATCCTGGTTCGTCAAATAATCTATACTGAATACACCCAATAGAAGTGACTCAATGCAAATACCAGAGATATGTATGAAAGATATTATTACCAATCGAATCAGAGGAGGATAATAAACAGTCTTGAAATTCTATTTCGATTTACATACACTAAAATATTCTAACAAGTTACTTATTTTTACAGTAAAAAACACTATTTCCCATCTGTTTGTATTTGAATGATAACACTATTATTTCTAAATGTACATTATCTTATTGATTTTTATTCAAATGTCTAATCATCAATTTTATTCAGGTATATAAATGTATGTATATAGATAAACTAAATTATTTTGTTTAATTATCTACACGGGATCCTTTAGCCGACAAAGCTCGTTTCTAATTGATTTTGTCAGCTTGAATGCTACTGTCTTGTTGAGAATTCTGCGGAAGGTTTCCGAGGTTCCTTCCTTGTATGGGATTACTACTGATGATTTAGATTCTTTATTGTTGGTATTGTCCTGCGCATGTTTGACATGCATGTCGTCATTATTGATATTATTATTATTGTTATCACTATCACTACTTTTATTATTTATTGTATTTCTACATTTCCCTACATACTTCTTGATTATTGAAGTGTTGGTTTGTAGGGATATGATTGGTTTCAGGATTTAGTTAGAGAACCGGTTCATGATGAAATCCTGAAACCAATCAAATCCATACAAACCAACTCTTAAATACTAATGAGATGCTCACTGGCGACTGGCCCTATTCAGGTAGGTAGTTACCTGGGTTCCAGTGGGAAGCCGTACCCAGTAGGGTGCAGCGGGTCGGGTGTGAGGACAAATACTCGCCGAAGACATTGGCTAGCGGTCGCGCTATATCGTGAATTGGCAGAAGTTAGAACTCAAGGACCATCGGATCGGGTCCCAGTGGCTTAATGGTATACGGGCTCGCCTTGTAACCGGAAGGTCCTGGGTTCGAATCTCGGTGGGTGCGTACCGATGAAGAGTCCCAAATTAGGACGAAACAACTGTCCAGTACTCCCAGGTTTTCCAATGGTTCTCTAACTAATGTCAGCTTATGATGAAATCCTGAAACTTCCTGATTAATTTATCAGGTTAATTATTAAGTTTCAAAGTTTTTCTTATATGCCTCACTTCCTGTCTTAGATTTTCCTTGATACTACTCAGTTTTTGTGCTCTATTATTTAAACATTTCACCAATCCTATTTTCATTGACATAGGATGGGATGATCCAAAGTCCAAATATCTGTTGGAATGTGTGGGTTTCCTGTAAATACTAGTTTTTAACTTCCCATCTTTCCTTTTTGCTCAAGAGTATAAAATTGGAAGCTCCCCTTCCTGATTGCCTAATTCATATGTCAGTTGAATTGCCTCTACCTCCGAGTTGATGTGTTCGAAAAATCTGTCTTTATTCTGTGTTGTAATTACAGTGAATGTGTCATCTACATACCTCCACCATACTTTTGGGGTGGGGCTGAACGATTCGATCGCTAAGTTTTCCCACCTATCCATCAATATATCTGCCACAACTGGGTATATTGGTGACCCCATAGCAACTCCCTCAGTTTGCTTGCATATTTTCCCCTGGAATTTATATACTGTGGAAGTCAGGCATAGAAGCACTCCCAGCATTATGTCCTCAAGTGACACTTTCGTTCTAAGTTTGAGTTCTTGGTAAGAAATGAGTTCATTTCTGACTGCCTCTATAGCCATATTTATTGGGAAACGTGTATATAAACTGACAATGTCAAAACTAACCATTTTCTCTTCATTATCTAATTTTAAATCATCTAATCTATGTTTTAGTTGATAAGAATTTGTTAGTCTAGCTTTTGAGTGGCTTTTAAGTGGGGTTTAATACCATGGCTAAATATTTGGAGGATTTATAAGTAGGTGAATTTCTAAAACCAACTATAGGTGTAATACGGTATCCTGACTTGTGAACACAACAACAACAACACCATACATCCTACTGGGGTTATTAGTTTCGGGCATTAAATTAAACCACTTAGACTCACCTAGAAACGGCTTCATTCAGCGTATAAGGTCCGCTGTGGATTTCTTAACTTTATTTATAACTGTGTCTATCGATTTATTAGTTTCTTCATATGGTCCTGTTTGTATGCGAGCATTCATCTTGTCCAAATAGTCTGATTTGTCTCATATTACTGTTGCATTTCCTTTGTTTGACTTAGTGATTACTATGTCCTTGTTATTCTTAAGGTGTTTTAGGGCTTCTATCTCTGGTTTTGTCAAATTAGGCTTTCCTCGTTTTCGTCGTGTTATTGTTAGCGCACATTGTCCCCGTACTTCATCAGCCATTGTTTTGTCTATCTTACTTAGTGCTATTTCTATTTTAGGGATGACATCCTCAGGTTTCAGCTTGTCAACTGCTACATTGAAATTTAGTCCCTTTTCTAATACACTTATTTCCATAGGACTTAATATATACGTTGAGAGATTGATAACCCACTTTGATTTACCGATCGCCGTTGACTCTAGGTTGCTGATTTCATCGTTCTGAGGTGAAAATTTCTCCTCTAATAATTTATTGAACTTTTTGATTTGAGTATTCTATGACTTTTGAAAGTTGCTGATTTGACATCGCTAGATGACTGTGTTATAAGATCATAATCGACATTGGTAACTATTTGTTATGTACTCGTCGCTAAATTATTGTTATGGTCTGGTCGAGAAACTAATAGTCCTGACGCAAGAAGGCGGAAATCAGAAGACCACTAGGTTTGCGATGATACTTCTATTTTCCAAACACAAGGAGAAGCAAATAAGTGGTATCACACCAAAAATAAGTAAGTGTAAGTAAAGTCACACAATATTGTGAGAACGAAATATGTATGTATATATATATATATATATATATATATATATATATATCAAAATATAGCAGACATGTCAAACAACCACCATATATGGATATATGTCACTAAGCAACGGACTGTCAACAAACACTCATATTATATTATAAATAATATAAGGAGAATATACATTGTTAAAGGAGACAAGTTCATACAAGTAAAATGGTCACAGACTAAGAGAGTAAACAGAAAGAGAGACCAACATACACACACACATAAATATATATATGTGGATACATATCACTATTCCTATTAGCTCTTGCTTTAACTGCTCAATTTCATATCTGATATGGTACAACAACAACAACAATTTTTTGTTTCTCTTCTTTTAGGCATAATTTTTGTAAACTTATTCTACTTCTAACTTTGTCTGTCGGGACTGGAGCTGCTCGTAGACGTAGGTATTTCTGAATGATTCCATTTTTCAAGCATCGAGTGTTGAAAATACGATGATTTTCATATCTTACTTCACTTTGCAAAAGTCGAGTGAGTTTATAGATTATTCTTCGTCCAGGAAGACAGGAAGTCATATTAATATATGTGTAAAACTTGGGCACTGTGATAGAAAATAATTCCATATTAGTTTGTTTATTAGATATATCACACAGTGAAACAGTATTATCTACTGGATGACGTTTCGAAGACAATTTGTTGTGGTTCATAATCATATTAATTACCAATAATCAAGGTCAGATTGTTATTACGAAAACTTTGTACTGTCGAGTACAAGAAATATGTCAAATTCATCCTGCCAAAGAACTCACGTGACATATCTTTCGACGAGACAACCACCGTTCTCCCAAATTTTCGGTGAACAGTTATCCATGTTTAATATTCGGTTTCAATGTTCTCAGTTAACAAGAATGCCTCCCGATGATTATGTCACTTATGCTGGGAAAGTAAAGAAGGTACTGTGGTTCATGGCATTTCGTCAAGTTTTGTCCTTTCAAGAAACAAATGTCACCGTTTTGGACATAAAGATGGTTACTGTCCACCACAAAAGAACTCTTCGATGAGAAACAAACGTAGTCCTATCAAGCCGAAACAACTCTCCCGAGGACAGACCATTTTTGCAAAGCCCAGAGTCGATTTTGCCAGTAAACGAAAGTACCTTACCCTACCTATTAATGGCAAACCTATTCGTCTTCAGTTGGATATAGCATTAAATATCACCTTAATTTCGCGCAATACACGGCGCATACTTGGGTGCCCACAGATTCTTCCAATAGAGCATATCGCTAAGAACACCTCTGGAGATGAGCTGAAAACTCATGGGTAAGATCAACTGCTACGCTCAGTTTGGTGAGCATGAATTCCATGGTGTATGTTATCTCATCAAGATATCACGATTTGAATTTAGTTAGTCTTGACTGGTTAGATAAGCTCAATCTCCCAAATACGCCATTAAATTCGAACGTGTTGTCTTAACCAAACGACTTCACTTCAAGTCGTGCTTCACGTACATCTCTGTTGCAATATTCGCGTCAAAAGCATTCTCCAGTCTGCTGGGAAAATCGTGGCTGCTGCAAGTTAAGTCAGATATCTTCTACTGTGAAGCCGAATATTAAGCTGGTTTTCCATCCTAAACATCCAATTCAGCATCAATCGGAATCCCATAGACAAGGTGACTGCTACGTCCTTGCCTCCAAGCGTGTTTTCAAGAAAGCAAAGGGGGGAGGGAACAAGGAGAGAGATCTTAGATAGATTTTTGCTGCCTTATCATACGGCACCCAATACTTCTGCATCAGATAAGTTATCTTCGGCAAGAATTATTTTTGATCGAAAAGTCAAAACTTCTTCAACCATATCCAAAAGACAGTCGTACACTTTTTACAGAGGGAGGTGATAGGATCCCGCATAAAACAGTATATCATGCCTTCTCACGCATGTCGTGACTTGTATGATCAATTATTTCCCCACGGCTGTGAACCGACTTTATTGTTTTAAAAATATATAATTACCATGTTTCATTTTCCTAATAAATATACAGTACAGCACAGTATCTTACAGTCACAGACTGGCTTTTGTATTTTGATATTCGCGTGACTCAGTGAATCAAAGGGGAAACAAACGAACAAATAGGCATATTAGGGTACCAGTCGAGTTCATTACCGTTATAACCAATTAGCAGGGGCAGACGTAAGATTATGTGATTCAGAGAAACTGTCATACTGTTTTTGATTGGTCTAAAACCTTTGACTTTTTTCATTTTGACACTTTTGGGTCTAAAATTGCTTCTCATGCTGTTTTCTTTCATGGTCATGCACTACTTCAGCGACTAATACCATTACTGCAACTAACGGTAGGACCGATAGCTGCTACCTTGACGTGGAGGTCGGGCTTGCACATCGCGATAACCCAACAAGCTACAGTGGCTGGAACCAATGTTCCTTCAGGTCCTACCATGCCACGAAGGTTAAGACAGCGATTAGACTAAAAGCAGTTACTTGCTCAGTGTAAGAATCTTTATTACACTATGCTGGGTGTCTGAGGGCATAGTCGTACTGCTGGGGAACACTTACTTACTTTACTTTACTTCGGCTATCTCCTACGGGAGGATGAGCCGGCTTCATGAACGAGTTCATGAAGTTTCTTGGGAATTTGGTACGAGTGATGTCCCCAGCATCGCTCGGCCTTTTGTTTGAGAGTGCAGCTCTAGCCTTTACACAGCCAAGTGTGACCTACAAGGCAGTAGGAGTGGAGTAGGGAGCCCACTATCCATTGGCAGCCGGTGACCGGAGTTCGGTTCATCCGCCTTTTTGAATGGGGCCAGACATCTAGGACATCCAACAAGCCCTTTGTCCATACGTCTGCCGGTGAGCTTTTTTTTTTTTCATACGCCAGTCGTTGAAGGTTTGGAATCAGGGTTTAGCCATCTCCCCTAGACTGTCATCCAATGGACAGTCAACCCGGTGGAGAGCGCCGGGCATCCGCTTTTGCCCTCTCGCTTTAGTGAGAAACACCTCCGCCACGTGAAGGCAGTGAGTAGGACTTCCTCAGGAGAGGCTATGTAAGACGCACGGTCATATGGGAGCATTTCAAGAGGTGTGCGGAGGGGTGGCCAACCCGCAGCGCAAGACACCCACCCCCGACCATCCTGAGGCTTTGGAGGCCCTGGGGAACAGGGCTGTAACAGCAGTAAGGTGTTACCCTCAGATGACCAGCATGCCGGCTATGCTGTCTGTCCACACCGGAGAGGGGGTTAGAAAAGGTCGACCCCAGAAATTGTACATCCCGACTCACCCTACGGTGGTCCGTAACCGGCGGTAAGTTTACTAATACGGAACCAAACCAAAAAACCAGTTCATACAAGCTGTCTGTGACTGGCCTCAAGCAGTTGTCCCCTGGGCTCTGCGGTCACGCAACACTTTCTGTTTCAGGTACGCGTAGGATCAGTCAACTTCCACGGTGTGGGCAGCCGGCAACCGTCCACACTTCCAAAAGCACACGAAGTCTTCCTAAGCATCATTCTTCTCTATCCACATCACCTTATTCCCCTACTGCAGCTAGTAGTATTCGTCAGGTTAGTGAGGCACCTTCAATTCACTCTGTGACCACGAACAACGGTGAGAGCCATAGAAACACCCCACACAGCCTTTTAAAGCCACGTTGCCAACTTCATATATGAGCATTTAACGTCAGGACCGTCTGCAAAATCATACAACAGGCATCACTACCAAGAACTCTGGCTTCTCGAGCCATGGATGTATGTTGTGTTTCGGAGACACATATACAAGACCCGAGTGTGGTCATTAATTTAACCCCACCCAGTCAACAAGATGAATCTGCAAAATTCACTTTAAGGGTGTCAGGAGACCCCTCAGCTAGCTTGCGAGGACTCGCAGGTGTAGGGATAGCACTGAGTGTTAGGGCAGAAAAATCACTTCTTGACTGGATCCCAGTAGATAGTCGTATGTGTGCGGTCCGTCTGAATGGGTCCGTTAAAAGAATGAAAGACGGCGTTACCCGTTGTTTCTTTTTCGTATTCTCCGCTTGCGCCCTAACAGACTGCAGTTCAGATGAACTAAAGGATGACTTCTACCTGAAACTGTCTAATTTGCTCCAAAAAGCAAAACATTCAGATTTAGTTGTTTTAGCGGGCGACTTCAATGCCCAAGTACGGAAGTTGTGCCAGACTGATAAGTATGTGGTTGGTGCGTATGGAGTCCCCTGCCGACGAACCGACAATGGTGGTCGTCTTCTACAGTTTTGCTCAGATAATCACCTGTTCCTAGCCATCACTAACTTTAGGCACAAAGAGAGACACTGCTTAACTTGGCGACCACCATCACCAAATCAACGCTGGACTCAGATAGACCACATAGCCATAGGGTATTGTTGGCGATGGTCAGTAAAAGACTGCCGCTCGTTCTGAAACACGTGCGTAGACTCTAGCCACGCTCTGGTTCGTTCACATTTATGCTTACGATTAAGCGGACATAAGAAATTGTTGGCAGCGAAACAGTTACGTCCCCAACTAGATCGAGACACTGAGTCCCCATTTAAGGAAGAAATAGCGAAACGAGTTTCTGAGGTTGACAGTAGTGCTCCTCTTGACACAGCCTGGCACAACATACAATTAGCTGTAGACACAGCTGTAAAAGCTGTTAATAATCTGAAACGTAAAGTTAGTAAGAGCCACTGGATTTCTGCCGCCTCATCCGAACTGATTGACGCAAGAAGACTGATTCCCGCGAGCTCCGATTATGATGAGGAGCGAAAGCTATTCAAACGAAAACTAACAAGAAGTCTTCGCGACGACCGTGAACAGTGGTGGGTGACAAAAGCAAAAGAGATGGAAAAGGCATCGATGATTGGTAACACCAGACAACTATTTAGGCTTATCAGGGAAACAGGTGGTAAAAGGCAAATGATAAGTGAAACAATCTCTGAGAAAAATAGTACCATAATTAGCTCCCAGGATAGACGACTGGAACGCTGGAAAAAACACTTTGAGGAGCAGTTTAATTGGCCTACAGCCCCGCTCAACATGCCGAACATCCAACACCTCCCTGAATGGGATATAGACACAGGTCCTCCGTGCCTGAGTGAGGTTACTAAAGCTGTCACTAGTCTGAAACAAGGCAAAGCAGCGGGACCTGATGGAATGACTCCAGAGGTATTTAAGTACGGTGGAGACAATTTACTTTCTGCATTAACTGAGGTTCTAGGCAGCGTCTGGGAATCAGAGGAAGTCCCATCGGGTTGGTGCAAGTCACTGATTATCCCCATATACAAGAAAAGAGACAAGTCTTCCTGTAATAATCACAGAGGGATTAGCTTGACTAATATGGTATCTTAAGTCCTAGGCTCAATAATATTGCGTAGACTAAGTGGTCTACGGGGATAACAAACACGAGAGAACCTGGCAGGATTTAGACCAGGAAGAGGGTGTATTAATCATATCTTCACCCTTCGACAGATTCTAGAACATAGTCATTCCTACCGGCATCCAACAATCATTATATTTCTTGACCTTAAGGCGGCGTTCGATTCTGTCGACCGAGAGGTTTTCTGGAGATGCTTGGCTGTAAAGGGAATGGCGAGAAAATACATTGCACTGATTAAGGCACTCTACTCGTACTCATGCAGCCAGGTGAGAGCTTACGGTGAGTTGCCATCTGAAGTGGTGTCCGTCAAGGATGCCCATTATCCCCATTTCTATTTAATTTCATCATAGATGTACTAAAGGATTTAACCCTTACTCACTTCAGAGACTCAGAGATTGACTTGCTACCATGGAATAATCTCGTTGACTTGGAATATGCAGCTGATATAGTCCTCCTAGATGAGGACACGGACAAAATGCAGAGTCTTATGAACACCTTGAGATGTCAGCAATCTACGAATGTTTGGCATCCGATTCGCTCCCATCAAATGTAAGATGATGTAACAGGACTGGACTGGACTACACTGACTCCTAGTTTACAAATAGGGAGTGAAGTGTTAGAGCACATTGACCGCTTCACTTATTTGGGAAGTACTATCAGCCAATGCGAACGCGTTGATCGCTGACAAAATCTCAGTACGTATACAGGGGGCTCGTTTCGCATAATCCAGTTTACGCCGTCTCTGTCGTAGATGTGATATCCGGCTGGCTGTCGACCAAAGGTTGGGTGCACTGCTCATCAGTCCGCTCCGTCCTCCTTTATGGCTGGCTGTGAGACCTGGTCATTGAGAGTGGAAGACATGAAAAGATTAGCTGTCTTCGACCATAGGTGCCTGCGCTCTATTTTTCCGTGTGAAGTGGTATAAAAAGGTGAGCAATATTGAGGTTAAGTATCAATCGAGTGCTATGTAAGGAGGGGGAATCAATCGACGAGGTTGTGAAATTACATCGACTGAGAGAGATGGTTAGGACATGTGTTACGTATGCCTGGTCATCGCCTTCCTCGACTACGGTCAATGTTAGCTGACATAGGGTTGGTCAGGCTGGAAAAGAGCTAGCGGCGGTCAAACCATAACATGGCCTCATCAGTCAATGAAATCTACAACAGTTAGTTTAAGTCAGTTACGTAGGAAGGTGTGGACTTCCTGGTTGGGGTCCTCAGGACGGTAAAAACCAATGGTTGGAAAGAATTGGTGATATGGCTCAAAATCGTTCTCGGTAATGGCTGGCGCGGATACATCCATTCCTTGTGACCTATGATTTCTAATGAAATTACATTGTTCCTCGTTACTTCTATTCCTTTGTCTCACACCTCTCTACTGGTCTCTATTATGCATTTCTTCTACCTTCTTCTCTTGCTTTGTGTACTAAATGGAATGTGGCGACTTGAACTGCTGCACATCGGTGCAATGTTCTACGTCGTAGACAGACAACAGTACGTGATATAAATGAAGTCGCCATTGATATATACTGTTTGTTGTTTTTAAATATCCTGCGATCTACATTGGTTGGTCATTAAGAAGTAACCAATGTTATATGCCTATTTCTTAGTTTCAGTGTCGACTGAGGTCTGTCAGTCAGGTTTTCAATGTTAGACACCACGCTAAACAACTTCCCATCTTTGTTCACTTGGAAATGACGATGGTTGTAACCGGTGTGTTATTTATAATCTTACTGGATAAATTTTATGCAGCACTGGGATGTGTTTTGCAGTGATTTCTAAAGTAACGAACAACCCTCAAGATATACATTTAGTGGTACTTCACTTATTTGGTGCAGTGCACAGAGTGACACAGTATTATTTGCTGGGTAACGTTCTTTTAGCTGTTTCTGCCCAAAGATGTTTGCGTTCTATTGAATTTGGGCGTAAAGTAGTGGGTAAGTCAATCCATGAAGTTGTGGAATTATATCGATTGAGATAGTTAGGACATGCGTTGCAAATGCCGAGCCACAACCTTCCTCGACGAATAATGGTAACTAGCATAGGGTTGGGTGAAACCATAGGTTGGCGAGTTCGTGAAATCTTTTAGTTGGTTTGAGCCACGTAGAGAAAAATGTATGCTTGCTGGTTGGGGCTTCAAGATGCTGAGAACCAGATGGCTAGCACAAAAGCGCTAATTCATTCACTCTTTGTGGTTTCTCATATCTACTAAACCCTCGCTCTCTTATGTTACCATTCTTCCTCCAGCATATTTCTGTTCTGGGCCAAGTTAAACTTTAAGCACAACTAACTACCAATGGAGTACGACCGCACCAGTGGCCTTGAAACGTTCACTGAGCAAGTTAGTGAAATCCCGTATATAATGTTGTCATCATCAATAAAATATGCTAATCGAAGTGTTATGTTGTCAAATGGGATATCTGGGAAGTTTCAGTTTAGGTTTGGTGAAGATTAAGTTACGGTTTAAGTCATGGACAAGATAGGGTTAGATTGACCTAATAAAGGCGACATTAGGGTTGGTTTGAGTTAGATTACAGTCTGTTTAGCGATATTTTCACGTTAGGATTAGAAGACCTAAATAATTACACGCATAGAATGTGGTTAAATTGCTCCATTGACATAAGAATAATACTTGTGCACTGTGGTACAGCATAATTCCATTGTGGGTAACGTTTATTTTGATAAAGTCTCACAGGGTTATACAGTAGTATTATTTACTGATGACCATGTTTTGAGCACAATCTACTGCTCAGTGAATACTGCTGTATAACACTATGAAACTTTATCAAAATAAATTTTACCCACAATGGGACTGCCCTCTCTTGATAATCCAACCTAAAACTGACAAGTATTTTTATCCCATGTAAGAGGAAGCTATCCTCTGTTACACTTTTCTGCAGTCATTATGCAATTTTTTCATAAATATATGTACTCCATACACAAAAATGCCTCCCTCACAGGATTGGTGCTTTCGAGGCCATCTGCTGATTGGTAGTTAGTGGTGCTTGAAATTTAACTTTGCCCTGTTCTGTATAGTTCTTTTGAATTTGTTTACCCTACTCACCTTTTCTGTAACTTTGTGTGCTACGTGGAGTGTGGCAAACTTCTGTGTTGGAACTCAGCCAAATATACAACAAAAATTATTGCAGATATTTAGAAAGTTTTGCTATCAACATAGATTCAGGGACAAATCACTGTATAACTACAAAAATTGAATTTATGAGTTCTGTCTCCTTTGATATTATATTATGAGCGATATATTGTCTGGGACACGTTATTCGGTAAACGAAACTGGCGAATCAAATCAACCAACCTACACAGAACCCTGCTAGGCTTGAATTTTGTATGTGTACATGGCATGGTGTTATCCATACACCTAGCCTGAATTCTTTAGGCTTACTGTCTTGATTGTAGGTATGCCTTTCATGAACTGGTACATATAACTTAGTCCAGTAATATAGCATTACCTTAGCTTGTAATCCTACTGCAGATATTCGTCTTTATTAAGATCCTTTCAAAACCATATACTTTGTTATTAAATTAACCTAGGCTTTTAAACGCCATACATTTTCAAATTTCCGTAGATTGTCTGTCTGTTTTCGACATAGAACTTTGCACAAATGTGCACCAGGTCAAGTCGCCACACTCCGTGTAGCACGCGAAGCAAGAGAAGAAAGTACAAGAAAAGCATAATAGAGACAGTGAGCAGAGCGGTGAGACAAAGGAAGAGTAATAACGAAGAACAAAACAGTTTCATTGGAGATCATAAGTCACAAGGAGTGGATGCATCTGCGCCACTGAGAACGATTTTGAGCCATGTCACCAATTGTTTCCAACCATTGATTTTTACCGTCCTGAGGACCCCAACCAGGAAGTCCACACCTTCCTACGTAACTGACTTAAACTAACTGTTGTAGATTTCATTGACTGATGAGGCCATGTTATGGTTTGACCGCCGCTAGCTTTTTTCCAGCCTGACCCTATATCCGCTAACATAGCTCATCGAGGAAGGCGATGACTAGATTGTAGATTGTACACAGGTGGTATATATATATATATATATATATATATATATATATATATGTAGGCACGAATATACCCAGGACAAGTAACAAGATTCAGATTTTCAACACTAATGTCAATTCAGCCAACGATTCTGTTTAGTTCAGAGGCTTGGCGTAAGCGTCACAAGAACCATCTCTAACAGGCTATTGCAGACTATCATAGACTGCTGCATTCGCTGGCTTGATAGTGAAGATCTAATGGCGAGAAAGGATAAACAACAAGGAACTATGGGAACGAACCAACCAATAACCTATCGCCTAACAATATCCCAAAGGAAACAGCGTCGAATCTAACACACATTAAGAGGAGCGTTGAGTGACATAGTGCGACAGGCCATTTCTCGGGTGGAATCCGAATAGGAAATGACGAGTTGGGTGTTCGTAGGTGACATGGAGGTGGTGAGAACTTATGAGAAGTAGTAGAACCAGCTGCAGAAAACATGGCGAATAGAGATGTGCTAATTGAAGCTTCATGTTCCAATCGATATCCGAGGGGATTAATAAGTAATAATACTCTTTCAATTTACATACTCCCTAACATGAGACAGCATGCTACACTGTTGTTAACAGCCTCAGCTAATACAGTCTTTAGTACAAAGTCACTACATATGCTTCAACAAAAAAAATAATTTAGCTCTTAAAGGATTTATTGGTAAAATATGCTCAGAAAACTGAGTTCTTCTTAAGAAAAACATCACATGACTGCAGGGTGAGTGGACAATGACTAATGACAGAGTAAATTAACCGGTATCGTTGGAAACACCTTCTATTCTTCACCCTTAAAAACGATCTTTTTCTTCACGTATTGTTTTCATAGCTTTGATAGGATCTGTAGTTTTGGCATGTGCCAGAATATCAGGCTCGGAAACACGCATGAAAGGATTAGTTGCCATTTCCTCACCGATTGTCCCAGGAACAGTCGGTTGATTTGACACACGCATACGTTTTATAGCTGCCAGTCTTTGTTGAAGTACTTCATTCCTAGGCTCCACAGTCAAACCAAATTCAAGATTTTTCATTGTGTATTCGTGTCCACAATAAATTTTTGTTCCTGTTGGTAACTTTGATAGTGTATCTATGAGTGCTTTATACCTGTTTTTTAGAAGAAAATGTTGTTTAAATTAGAAAATATGCACAATGCATACAATAGATAAGAAAAACTTATGCAAAACAAATAAATCGCCGAAGAGTCCCCTTCGAACTGAGACATATGTATAGTGTCTACGCTTTACAATAAAAGAATAAATGCAACTACTGTACATAAGTCTTACGAACAACACACCTCTCATTAGAAATCGTTCAAAATCTAGACTAACTAATTCATATGAGATGAAAAATAAGCTAACTGACATTCAACTAGAGAATGATGAAAAAATGGTTAGTTTTGATGTAACTAGTCTTTACACTAATATACCAGTCATTATAGCCTTAGAAGCAGTTAGAAAAGAACTAACTGCGGATCCTGAAATCAATCATAGGAGAAAGCTGCCCATTGAACAAATTATTTTAGGGATTCAGTTATGCCTCACATCTACTATCTTTAAGTTCCAAGGTAAAATATATAGACAAACAGAAGGTAGAGCAATGTGATGGATCACCAATATCCCCTATTGTAGCAGATATATTCATGGACAGCTGGGAAAAGTGCCCTCAATACATTTAATCCTACTCCGAAAATATGGTGGAGATATGTGGATGACACTTTCACACACAGTGTTAAAAACAGAACATATCTCTAGCTTCTTGATACACATAAACTTACTAGTGGAGAGAATAAAATTCACATTGGAATCGGAAAATGAACAAGGAGAAATAGCCATGATGTTAGATTGTAAAATGAAACGAATAGAAGAAGGTAAACTACACACTAGTGTTTACAGAAAACCAACTCATTCTAATAGATATTTAGACTTTAATTCATCTCATCCGTTATCTGTCTGTTAAGACAGGCTTAGTTAAGTGTCTAACAAACCGAGCTATAGCACTAAGTAGTACAAGAAAAGACCTAAATGACGAAATAAAGCAGATAGAAAAAGCGTTGGTGTTGAATAACTATCCTATAAAATTCATTAGGGAGATCAGTAAAGGCCAAAAACGAAATAAAAATAATCGTGAAACTATTTATGACAACACAAATAAGAAAGAATATAAGTCATCCACTGTTATACCATATAAGGAAGGGACATCTGAGGCCCTACGTAGGATTCTTAATAAAGCAGGAATTAGGGTGGCATTCAAACCTACAAACTCACTCAGAGACAAGCTCTGTAGGTTAAAGGACCCAGTTGACCCAATTAGACAAAATAATATTATTTACAAAATACCATGCAATGACTGTGAGGTCAACTACATAGGTCAAACTAGTAGGTCAGGGATAGTCAGATTGTCTGTCTGTTTTCGACATAGAACTTTGCACAAATGTGCACCAGGTCAAGTCGCCACACTCCGTGTAGCACGCGAAGCAAGAGAAGAAAGTACAAGAAGAGCATAATAGAGACAGTGAGCAGAGGGGTGAGACAAAGGAGGAGTAATAACGAAGAACAAAACAGTTTCATTGGAGATCATAAGTCACAAGGAGTGGATGCATCTGCGCTAGCCACTGAGAACGATTTTGAGCCATGTCACCAATTGTTTCCAACCATAGATTTTTACCGTCCCGAGGACCCCAGCCTGGAAGTCTACACCTTCCTACGTGGCTGGCTTGGACCAACTGTTGTCGATTTCATTGACTGGTGCCAAGTTTTTGTTTGACCGCCGCTAGCTTTTTTCCAGCCTGACCCTATATCCGCTAACATTGCTCGTCGAGGAAGGCGGTGGCTTGGCATACGTAACACATGTCCTAACCATCTCAGTCTTTGTAACTTCACAACTTCGTCGATTGATTTCCCCTGTTTAGATTATCAGAACATAAGAATCTAGCTAAGGTAAGAATGGTTGACCCTGAAAAGGTAAGTAATTTAGAAAAAAGCTCATCTATTGCACTTCACACAATAACAAACAACCACACAATAGGGTGGAATAGGGTTAAAATTCTAAAAAGTAATATAGGTAGGTGGAGAGAGAGGTTGACCACGGAATCCTTATTTATCGAGTCTACACTCAACACATGCAACAGGAATGACTCAATGCAAATACCAGAGATATGGAAGATATTATTACCGCAGGTCAAATCAGAAGAGGATAATAAATAATCTTAAAATTCTATTTCAATTCAAACACATCACAACATTCTAACATAAAAACTTATTATTACTATTAAAACACTCGTCGTATTTCCCATCTGATTATAGTTGATCAATAACACTCGTATTATTGCCATCAGTCAAATCAGAAGATATTAAATAATCTTAAAATTCTATTTCAATTCAAACCCATTCAAACACAACATTCTAACAAGTAGCTTTTATTATGACTATAAAAAAAAACACTCCTTTTATCCCATCTAACTACAATTGATCAACAACACTCGTACTAGTATTTCTGAATGTACATTATCTCACATTGGTTTTTAATCCAATATCTAATCGATTCTACACATGTATATAAATGAAAGAACAAAGTCGTGAGAGTAACTTGATATGATTATGAGCAATAGTTTGTGCTCGAAACGTCGTCAGTTAATATAACTGTACAACACTGTGTGATTTATCAAAATAAAATCTTATCCATAATGGAGACTCTCAACGACTACCTACTCGTATTAATAAAACAAGCTAGGTACATCATAGGCACCAAGATGTGCATCTCATAGTTTTTGTGAGGACTGGGAAACTGTTCAGACAGACCGAAACGAATGGTTCCGTTAAAGGACTACACCCTGAGCCTTTGCTTTATGGAGTCTGATCTTTAACGCAGGGGAACAGCTAGTTTAATGATAATTCTGGAAATTTCTTCTACTAAGGTATTTTCTTTTGCTGTGGAGCAGAGCAGCCTTTCCATGGTTGACGGTGACCAAAAGAGGTTCGTACGCCATTTGAAGTGTTTGGATTCTAGAGCCCATACAACACAATAATTTTGCAATCAGAGCTTTTCAGCTCTCTCTGGTGGACCGGTAATATCAAGCAGTCCGGCTGTAAGCACCAAACTTTCACTCTTGTGAGAAACACCCCCCACCACCGCGTGAATAAGACTTGGTCTGCCAGGAACTACGAACGCATGGTTACATCATGAGAGCATCTCGAGTGAAAAACCTAAGCTTGTCCACTCCTCGGCTGTATCAGCAGAATTGGAATGAGTGATTTCAACGTTTCGATCAACAAATTTCAATCCCCCTGGGATTCAAACAAATATAATTTTTCGCATATGTCCACTTTTCACTCGGTAAACCAATGTTGGTGAAATGATTCAATCAAATATTATAAACAGAGGTTATAAAAAAGATTATTGAATCTATAACTGTAGGAACTATGCTAGTCAAGCTAATCTTCTCATGATTATATCACAAGAAGATTCGCCTCCCTTTTTATACACTGGGACAATCAATGACTTAGGCAGGTATAACAGGACTACTTCTGATTTCCCTACAATACTTAGTATCTTAGGAAACCTAGTCAACAGTTCATTACCTCCATCTTTAAATACCTTTGAAATCAAAACATCAAATCGTAATGTCTTTACTTGTTTTAGAATAGAAACAGTCTTTGCAACGTGACCACCTAGGCTAGAGGACAAATGCTTGATGATAGTCAAACATGGCCCAATTGGGTTCATCTTGCAGATGTGAGAAGATGGAAATGTTGACGCCGGCTACGCGCTGCAGCAATGTAAGTCGATCGACCGCTTCTAATTTCCTCCCTGAACAGAAAAGCAATGTAGCTGGTTATATTGTTTAGTAAGAAAGGAAACTCAATTGATGGGGTCGTGAAGTTCCATTGGGACATGTGTACACATGCTAAGTCACGGTCTTTCACAAGGTTTAAGGTTATCTGAAATAGGACCAAAATCTGTATAATGTTAGAGCGGGTTTAAAAGAACATACGACACCAACCTATTAACAACGTGATTGTTAGAGCTTGAGTCAATTATGGGAGCGTAGACTGTGCATCTGAGTGTCCAAGGGGGATAATATTAAGAGTCTGAAATTGAGACTTTTAGAAATATGGCGCAGATATATTTACTCATTATCACCTTCTATATTGTGAAAAGCTACACTAATTCTCACCTAATTACTTTCGCTACAGTAGATTTTCCTACATCATAATTTCATTACATATATTTCCGTTTATTTTTTTGGTAGTGTGGTAAACTTGAACACCTGTACTTCTGTGCAAAGAGTCCTACGGTGACAAGTCAGTCATAGTTAGAAGCTACTAGGTTTTCCATATCTTCTATCTTCAACAGCTATGAGACTCACAGTAGTGAAATAAGGTTAAGTAGACTCTCGGGGATTATAGATATCCATAAACCTGATATCAGCATGGTAAACGCGAGTGGACAGATGCCGAATGAGCATTCCGTACCAGTGCTGAGGCATTGTAAGAAACCAGATTGATTAGAGCTTGTGCTGACTGAGTTTCAACGCAGAACTTACCACAGAAATGCAGCAGTTCATCTTGACAAACACCACGTAGCATACAAACGTAGACAAAAAAGAACACAAACGAAGAGTATTCAAAAGGCTTATGATGAGCAGAAATATGAGGGAGTAAGAATAGTAACATGGAGTTAGATAATCGTTTAACGGATATGAGAGGTGACAACGAGTGAATGCATCTCTGACACTGAGAATGATTTCTAGCCATATATCTAAATCACCAAAAGTCTCCAACCACTGGTTCTTAGTATTCTGAGCACATCCAGACAGTCTACATCTCCTTAGGTGGTTCCGACAAACTGTCAAAAGGTTAGTGCAACTCCTCCCTATCACTTAACTAGTAGTCCGAGAATACCAAACCTAAAGCATCATTGGCAGAAGTGAGCCACGTACCAAACATACTCAGGCGTTGTCGTATGGTGATCAGAAGCTGTATTTTGCCACCTAATAAACTTAAAAAGACAGATGTGTTGACTCAGAATTTTACTACAAGGTAAAAAAACAATGGGCACACAAGAGGAACGACTTAACATTTCTTCCAAATTCCCAGGAAATTTTTCAACTAAAGGGAATGAAACTAGTATCATCATTTGCCACATAAGGTAAACAAAGCATGGAAACAGCAAAAGTATTGCTTTAAGTTTACGTTAACTTAATAAAAAAATTTTACTGACAGACACTCACATTTGCTCTGCAGTGCCTTCAAAGAATCTGCCACATCCTCCAAGAAATAACGTGTCACCGGTAAAAACAGCACCGTCTTGCATGCTATTTTCTTCAGTAATATAATAACAAATATGTCCAGTAGTATGACACGGTGTAGCCAAACATTCAACATTGAGTTTCTTGCCAATTTTCAGTTTGTCACCATGGGATACAGTATCTGTTAAACCACCAATACGATCATCACCACCGTACACTTTCAGCGGTCCAAATCCTGCTTCTTTGCATTTCTTAACAAGATCAACATTTCCACCAGCGTGGTCATAATGATGATGAGTTGTTAGTATAGATGTAATATTGAATCCACCGGTTTTGACTATATGCAAAACTTTGTCAGCTTCGACTGGATCGACAGCTGCACACGTCTAGACATATAACCAGATAGCAATAAGTACAACAGACAAGATAACAAAGTCATCTGTATACTGACTGCATTGATTAATTACATCAGTGACTCTAAAAGGTTGTACACCTTAAGCCAAAGATACAATAAAATCATTAAACGATTTCCTAAGTGTGAAGAAAAGATTAACTAGTTCGGCTAATGATGAGAGGCTCTCATAAGCAGAAATATGTTAACAGATTTATGTTAAGCGTTCCTACAATTTGTTTTTAAAACATTACAAACAGATTATAACTATGAAATACGTCCAAGCTGGATTCAGGAAAAAAGCAAATAATGTGCGGATCAAATTGCAACGCTGCGTGTCATCGCCGAACACAGCATTGGATGACACTCGAATATCTACCTCAACTTCATGAGCTTCGAAAAGCCTTTAGACAGTGCTGACCGTTAAACTGGTTCAACACTATAGAGTATCTCACACCTTTATCAGCCTCATTCAACAATTATATGACAATGTCACACGTAAGATGATTCACAACGAAGAGCTCAGAGAAGCCTTTGAAGTGAAAGCAGAGGTAAGACAAGGCCATCTATCATTATCGATGATAATTCCGAGTGTGGTGGATTGGATCATGCAGCAGATCATGCGTAGAATTGAGTGAACAGGCATACGTTGGAACGATAAGAAGGTTCTAGATGACCTGGACTTCGCGGATAATTTATGTACAAACTCGGAGACCTAAAGGCAAAAATCAATAAGTTCGTGGAGAAGACGAGAATTTAAGTGAACACAGACAAAATAGAAGTGATGATGATTGACCAACAATAACCAGCACCAATCACTATCAACGGAGGAATTTTGAACGAGGTCACTACTTTTACTTATTTAGACAGTATCGTTTCCACTGTAGGCGGCTGGAATGGTGATGTCAAAGGTAGAATCATAAAGGCGAGACAGACATTCATTATCATGAAATCAGTGTAGAAGTGTACAACAGTAATCACACAAAGAAAAGGATTCATATTTTTAACACTAACGCCAAGTCAGTCAGCTGTTTTATGCAGTTCAGACAGTTCCCGTAAGCCTCACTAAAAGCATTTCCGACAAGCTACTGGATACTTTAATCCACAGCTGCTATCTATCTATGGCCTGACAGCGGAAATCTAATGACCCGAAAGGATAAACAATAAGAAACTCTGGGAATGAACCAACCAATAACCTATCGCGTAACAATATCCCAAAGGAAACAGCGTTGAATCTAACACATATTAAGAGGAGCATTGAGTGACATAGTGAGACAGGTCATTGCTCCGGTGGAATCGGAATACGAAACAAGTTGGGTGTTCGTGGGTGACATGGAGGAGATGAGAACTTATGGGGAGTCGAGAAACCGGCTACAAAAGACTGAAGAAAACAGAGTGAAATGGAGACGTGCTATTGAAGCCTTATGTTTCACTCGGAACCTAAGGGATTAGTAATAATAATTGTTGGGAATACATCAAATTAAAAACTGTAGTTGGAAGTAAATTCCAGGTTACTCTACTTTTCGAAATATTACAAAGTAAAGGGAAGGAGCGCAAAGAAGTGCCAGAAACAGAGAGGGAGAACAGTTTTAAATGAAGACGGGTATAACTGTTTTACATTTCGATGGTAATACGCAGTGAATACGTATTTTCATAACGGATACTCTTACACCACTTGACCAGGGATTTGCGACCACCGATTTCTGATATCCAGGAGGAGAGCAGTCACACCACACAGACATGAATCAAACAGACAGTTAGAGATTAAAACCCTGTCTTTGGCTTATTATTATTCCGTTAAACATTGACTATCACATGTCGAGGACACTTCAGTCGATCACTTCCTAATAGTATTTTACTCTCAATATTATTTATCATGTGCACAAACAAACAGAAATACTTCGATTCGAAACAAAAGCAGATAATCTTTTTATTCCTTTCTACTTTCGAACGAGTATGCACAGTGATTGTAAAACAGGAGTACTGAAGGACACAGACGTTTTTAGTGCATAGATGAAGATCATTTCTGTGAAAAAAGATGGCATAGATTGCCAGGATAGTATAATATATATATATATATATATATATATATATATATATATATATATATATATATATATATATACTATAAAAGTTGTGCAAACATCAATATGTAATAACTTACTTTTGTAGCTTTGTCAATAACCAAATACATGTAATTATCAGACAGAGCAGGAATAATTACAACATCCATTATGGGTAGCGGTGAGTAGTGAAATCTCGAAAATAATAATCTTGTGGCGGTTAGCTGCTAGATGAAAAAGCAAAAATATTTATGAGTATAAGTACAGCGCTGAAGCAGTTTGATAAAATCAAGTGAAAGCTCATAGAGAAGTGCTCCGATTTGAGTATACAGCTTTTAACTAAACACTACAACACGGTAGGTAAGTAGCCATAAAGTATTATGTATTATACTACGTGTCTATATCACAACACAGAAACTGGAATTAGCACTAATCTCACACATAATTCATATACAGCAAAGATGAATACAACTTGTAACATTTGTTACTATCCGCTTTCACAGAAAAATTGTGTATCAATGCGATTGTACTGCCAAAAATGAATTCGGTAAACTACTTGTCTTGTTTTTATATTGAGTGTACGCGAGTAATTAGGCGCGCTCCGGACATGATGAGGAGTGGTAGCCGCTCAAGCAAAAAGTTCTCACAACGACGATGAAAAGTGATAGGTGACGGAAAAGGCATCAGCGATAAGTAACACGAGACAACTACTTAGGTATATGAAAACATAGCTGGCAAAACACCACTGATAAGTGAGTCTCCGAGAAAAATGGGGCCCTAATTAGCTCCCAGGACAGAGAGCTCGAACAGTGAAGCAAGTTAACTAGTCTACAGCCAAGCTCAATATGTATACTGTCTGCCTGTTTTCGACATAGAACTTTGCACCGATGTGCAGCAGTTCAAGTCGCCACACTATGTAGCACACAAAGCAAGAGAAGAAATGCATAATAGAGACAGTAAACAAAGGTGTGAGACAGAGAAATAGAAGTAACGAAGAACAATGTAGTTTCATTGGAAATCATAGGTCACAAGGAGTGGATGCATCCGCACCAGCCATTACCGAGAACGATTTTGAGCCATATCACCAATTCTTTCCAACCATTGGTTTTTACCGTCCCGAGGACCCCAACCAGGAAGTCCACACCTTCCTACGTAACTGACATAAACTAACTGTTGTGGATTTCATTGACTGGTGCCATGTTTTGGTTTGACCCTATGACCTGACCCTATATCAGCTAACATAATAATAATAATAATAATAATAATAATAATAATAATAGCTTTATTCCAAACAGTATTTGTGGTACAGGTATGGAATTTTCAGCGTGCATTACAGTATATTGCATCTAATTACCTCATAAATTATATAAGATTTTTAAAAATCAAAGATAAATAAATAAAAATAAAATAAATAAGTTATAAATAAATAAAATAAATAAATATTAGAAATTAAGAAAAAAAAAACAACGTAGAGTATTTCATTTCAAACAATGCAACACAGGATTTGAAATATAAAGTTGATGTGTGGTAGTAAATGAGAACAACAGTGTAGTAGTAACGAGGAAAGGAAAACAAAAACAAACAAAACAAAAACATTGATCGTAGTCGAGGAAGGCGATGACTAGGCATACGTAACGCATGTCCTAACCATCTCAATCGGTGCAATTTCACAGCCTCGTCGATTGATTTGCCCTCCTTACCTAGCACCCGATCGATGTCTAACCTCAATATTGCTCACCTTTTTATACCACTTCATACGGGAGATAGAGCGCAGGCACCTATGATAAAAGACAGCTAATCTTTTCATGTCTTCCACTCTCAATGGCCAGGAAGGCATGACAATATATCTACTATTCAAAACCTACCTTTAATGGCCCTCGATCTTGAAAATAGGTGAAGTGATAGTGCATGCTCACCACCTCATGTATTTGGGAAGTTGCATCTGCTCCAACGGAGTGACTGCTGACAAAATCCCAACACAGATACAAAAGGTTTGGCATTTGCCGAACTATTTCATCTTTTGTGCAGATGTGATACCTGGCTATCGATCAAAGGACATGTGCACTGCTCAGCAGTTCACTTCGTCCTCTTTTACGGCTGTGAGACATCACCTTAGAAAATGGTAGGTATGAAAAGGTCAGTTGTTTTTGAATATTTGTCCGTGTTTTGTCTCGTTTTAGGTGGTATAATCTGGCGAGTAATGGCGACTGAGGTCAGACATCGACTGTTAGGTAAACAGAGTAAGTCAATCCATGAAGTTGTGAAGTCATATCAGTTGCGATGGCTAGGACACATACTGCGAATGTCAAGTCACTACCTTCCACGACAGGCTACGACAGCTAATATAAGATTAGGTTGGAATTAGCATCAGTTCACGAAACCTTTGGAGCCACGTAGGGAGGTGTAGAGTGTGGATGAAGTCCTCAGAATACTAAGAACCAGTGGTTGGAGACTATTCGTGATTTAGATATATGTCTTGAAATCATTTTCAGTGTCAGAGATGCATTCACTCGTTGTCACCTCTCATATCCGTTAAACGATTATCTAACTCCATGTTACTATTCTTACTCCCTCATATTTCTGCTCATCATAAGCCTTTTGAATACTCTTCGTTTGTGTTCTTTTTTGTCTACGTTTTTGTGCTACATGGTGTTTGTCAAGATGAACCGCTGCATTTCTGTGGTAAGTTCTGTGTTGAAACTGAAGGAGTTGAAGAACAGGTATTCGAATCCCCTTTAAAACCAATGAATCCAATTAAGAAATTAAATCGACTGAGATAGCTTATAAAAATGTTGGACAAAATGTAATTCAAAGCATACCCTACGCCGAATATCCAGTTAGGCATTTGGGCCAAACGTGTTGATCACTGTAAACTAGAGTGAACGATGCTAAACACTTAAATATGTCATCTTGGAGGAACAGAAGCGTACAGTAATTAAGAAGAAAACTCGTTTATAGCTGCATATGCGTGAGACGAAAAACATGAAATTGATTAGAACATTTATGTTTTGAAATCCTATATGAACAAATGGAATAAAAGATTAATGATGGAATCTATACTGATAAATATCACCACAAACACGTACAACAGAGGTGACTGTACAATTACCGACAAGCAGAAACAATCCTAGATACGAGAAATTGAGTTAACGCAATATAAAAGCACCAAGTGTATTACTACCAGTTGGAAGTGTGTGAACTAGAAACAATGCCAACTGTTGGACGCGTAAGGTAATTAATTATTATATTTCTAAAACCAGCTGTCACTGTGTGTAAACAACCATTGGAATACAATCGTAGGTACGGACTACTATCTTGATTACCGTCTTATAGATTACGTAGGCTTCTTTCAACGGTAGGCACAATGGTTGCCTTATTCTACATTGGTGAGTCACTCATCTCCTGTTCTCCAGTCAGCTGTGACTAGTCTCACACCAGCTTTTAAAAGGTGACGGGATTTTTTGTATGCATTCGTTTCGTACCTCCGCTTCGTCACATGGATTGGTGTTAATCGAACTTGGAGCACTCTGACTTAAAATTAAGGGCTGGCGAAGAGGCCAAGCTAACTGGTTCCGCCCAGAGTTTCAGATTAGATGTTAAGTTCCGTTACGCTGCCTTCTAAAAGTCCAACAATTGTTGTACTACCTCGAGGGCTAGTGGTTAGCTCAGTTTAGTTAGGTTTGACATTCGGTAGCAGGTGAAAGCAGTCCGATTACATCAAAATTTCTAGAATGAAATCGATGATTACTACCTTGGACTAGAGCCTGACTAGAAATCCATCGGGTACAATGGAAAGAGCGGTAGTCCTGCATGCACACAACATCGGTGGCAAAAGCCATTTTGTCCTAAATAAGTCTACGAGCAAGTACTGACACTGCGTCTCCGGGTGTTTGAAGTCGGTGCTGACTGGACATAGACAGTGATTTGTGTAGTCTACCAAAGGCGGATTTTAGCATCCGTCCTGTGACCTATGTAAGAGTGACCCCCTGAGGCCCTCCTTTAGCCTAGACGTTCGAAAATAAGAAATTATTTTCTGAGTACTACGATGTCTGTTAGACGTTTGCATTTGCCGTTAACTCTATCGATTGGCATCCTAATTTATATTTGAGCTGCAGCTCATCGGTGCATGAGTAAAGAAAAGGTGAGGCTTCTATGACCCATTGGCCCTAGTTCTAACACTACCTGACCTAACGACTACCTTTGGGTATCTCATAGTGTGACGCAACTTCGGCACTGGCACTCAGCGCGAAGCCACTAAGCAGGAGGCCTATGCCACAGAATCATCGAATTAATGCTTAGCAGTATGTATCGACAGCGAAATCTACAATAATCAGTGAAATCCGTTTGATGTTTTACTAGCGTTAACATGCAAACTTTATAAAACAAGTTTTATTTTCGTCACGCATGCCCCTATCTATATTATTATATAGGTGCATGTGTGACGAAAATAAAGTGAATAAAACAAGTGGACAATATAAACAATGAGGTATCAAATGCGATAAAATGACTGCGAAAACTCTACATTCCGTTGGTAAATAGTATAGAGAAATATTTGAACTGCTAAGTAGCACGCGTCCTACAGTAGTGTGATTTGAAGTTTAAGGTAAGCTTAGGAGTTAACTTTAAGAATCATATTAGAGTTAGCGGGTGAAGTATATCTATATCTTCCAAGAAACATTGACATGGCTTACGTATATGGAAAAATTACAAAGATTAATACACTAAGAACAGCGTTACAACGAGATTGTTCGAAATCTACAACTCGCGGTATGACCTTGAGCAGGCAGGCTACACTTTCAATATTCAACGTCGCTGTTACGAGTGAACCAAATTGGACGTTTTGTATCTGCTGCGTGATTGTAACGTTAGGGTTCCTGATCTTTTTGAAACTGATTAGTTTGTCCTGTCACACTATCGACGTAAGTTTCGGTGACCCCAAGTAGAGTGGTGCTGGCATAGGTTCCTTGTAGTTTGAAGTACGTGAAATGTTATGGCTGGTTGCTGCTTTGAATATGAATGATCACCTAATTCGTTATTCCTCAAGTGTGGTCAGATAGGAAGAAAACACTAAGGAATAATTATGCACAATCGTCTTGATGGACAAGATTTGCAGCTCAGGTGGGTGATTTTGATGTAGTTGTGTATATAGCGGTAGGTAATTCCCCAGAAT